AAAAAAAAAACCAGCAAGTAATGTCTACACGAAGACATTCGGATTAGTCCAGTAAGCGTTGGTGCAGATCACGACTTGTAATCTGAGCATTAGCATAGGTCATGGTACCATGGTGCCACCCTAGGTGACTCCCCCTGGGTCCTCGCAATCCGTCTGACCTCCCAATGGATGAGTATAAGGGGCACCTCCTGAGGCCTGGCCACCACCCTCTACTACACCCTGGACCTAAAAACAAAGAAGTCCTGGTGTTTGATTGAAGTACATCATACATACTAAATAGAAGTGCAAAACACCCAAACCCAAAATAGAAAAAGAGGCGTAGCTTGTGCACAATCAATTGTTTTTCAAATCTTTCATAGCTATTTTACCAAAATGTATTAACAAATATAGAATATCAAAAATGGGAAATTGTACACATTGCAACTTGCAATACAGACAACTCACTTTTTTTTTCTTATTATGGGCCTCGCCGCACCACTGTCAAAAATGTGATTTTCGACAGTTCCTCTTCGCCACACAGGCTGTCGAAGTCGGAGACGGGAAGAAAATTTACAAGTTGTCAGAGAATGCTTCTCGACACCTCCTCTCGAAGTTGTTGAATCCCCAGCCTGCTACTCCGATGCTTTCGACACTCCTCGGTTGCGCCGTCGACTTCGCTTCGAAATTTGGTGAGTGGGGGTAAGGTCGGGATGGACTGATGCTTGTTGTACCCTCAAGCGCATTCGTCTTTTTCCATCTTGCTTTCACAAGTGCGTGCACTCTACAGTGTTGTGTGGCAAAGGGGGGCAAACTGTCGAATGGAGGTTGTCGAATTTGTTCTGACAGCCGTCAATTTTTTTGGCCTTTGGACTGTGGTGTGGTGAGGCCCTATATCATTACAGGCTGGGAAACGGGTCCAGCATCCCTCACATCAATAACCACGGCCTGCGGGGATGAGCCAGGCTCTCCGGCCACGCTTGACCGCACCACGGCCTAGAACCATAGGCATTGCTGCCGGAAACTCCCATATGTTGCAGCGCCTGTAACGAACCCGACTAATCCTAAAGAACCTACTTCCGTAAAACCCCAAATCTATAATTGAGATTATTGAGGACTATATATTCTGTACTATATCAATCTTAGACTATTCTTTATTACTAGGAAACCGCTGTAATGTAACAGAGTCACACTTATCTATAGATAACCTATGTCAGTCTCCCACATTATGAACATGACACAGAAACAAACATCACACATCCCCCTACAAAATGAACACAAATTATGGAGCTCGCCACACAGCCGTTCAAAACGTGCAAAATCGACGCAACATCTTTGCCACAGAGGCTTTCGAAACAAATGCCATCGAACAAGCGTTGAAAGGTGTCAGATAGTTCCGCGTCGAAAGTCGTTCCGAAGGAGCACTATTCTCCCGCCTGTCACGAGCATTTCTTTGAAAGCCCAAGAGTGGTCTTGTGAAAAGTCCCACCCGAAACGGCCTGTTGGCAGGAAAAAAAAAAAAAAAAAAAAAAAAAAAGGGCGATTAGAAGGGCCGGGCTCCACTAATCTCGACATGCACAAAAGACAAAAATCATGGTGGTGTATATTTCCATGTTCTATGCAAATGTTCACACTCTCGTTTTACACACGTCCAAAGTAGTGGAGCGAGACCCTAATGTGCATATAGAAAGGCCTCAGTGTTTCGAAAGTTTGTGTGGCGAAGGGGAGGGGTTCCTTTCAACGAGCAGCGTTTCGAATGAAGTCTGACACCTTTCGGAAAATGCCTTCATTCGAAAGGCTGTGTGGTGAACCCCTATATATACTATTTCCAGAAAGAAATGTAAAAAAGGTCGAGAATCTCAAAACCGGCAGCTTCCTTTCATCTTTCTGCACCTTAGCTAGACCAGAAAAAGTATCTGCCTCACGTTCGGCACTTTTCCTTGGCGGTAATTTCAAGAAATGCTCCAAAAGACTTGACTGTGTCACACAGAACTACCGTCTTCCCCCAAATACAACGTACGACAACTATAATAACTGTACGGTGTATTCGACGTTGAGTTTTCTATCAGGTGTGGCAGGGCGCGACCTCTGAGATGCATCTCCCTGACTTCCATCCAGCGGTTCGTTTTGTAGATCG